CAATTTTGTAGAAATAACTTTTAGATCCCATTATTTTTAAAAATATACTCCGAGTACCCTAAAATATCCAAAAACTTGCTCTCAAGAAATTTTCCTTTTATCCTTTATTATTATCATTATTGAAGTATTATTATTTTAAGTATTATTATTATTATTAGATTATTATTATTATTGTGTGACTATTACTATTATAATAGTTATATTATTATTATCATTGTGATTATTATTATTATTTTTACAATTACTGGTATTATTATTATTATTTGTATTATTATTATTATTAATACTCACTTCATCATTGTCTTCGCAGTTGTGACTCACTGCCACTTTGCCCTTGAGTTGTGTTGGATTGTCGCTACACATGCTAGAATAATAATAATAATAGTAATAGTTTTAGTAATAATAGTAATAATAATAATAATAATAATAATAATAATAGTGATGGTGATAGTAAAAGTAATAATAATCACAATAATAATAATAAAGGAAAAAAAGTTAAATCTCCCAAATTAAGTGTTTGGATATTTTAAGATATTCTAGAGTATATTTTTAAAAATGATAGAACCTGGAAGTTATTTTTACAAAATTGGAGGTACCTAATAACAAATTTTGGGAAGATGATGATGAAAAGATAATGGAAAAAATGAATTTGACGGACGGATGAACAAATGTCTCCCGCGGAGTTAGTTTTTAGATAATTAAAGGTATCCCAGAATATATTTTTAGTGTGAAAGTGTGAAATTGACGGTTCCTACCCCCTAATCCCCCGGTAAACCTTTCACCCAGCCCCAACCCGAACACACCCCCCTACCCCCGTCAATTCCACCCTCCAATTTAACTCCAAAGTCAAAATAAACTTGTAAGGTGCAATTAACGGGGGTACGAGGTGTGTTCGGGTCAGGGCTGGGTGGGGGGATTACCGGAGGATTTAGGGTGGTAGGAACCGTCAATTTAACGAATGAGACACCGGAACACCTCCAGATCATCTCATAGCATTGGATTTCAATGTCATGGGAATTTGGTGTATAATTATATGGATGATACGGAGAGTTGAAAAGTGCATATCTATATTTGACATCTGAGCGTTCAAGGTAGATGATCTTTCTCTTTCTTACTTTCCCCCCTTCCCATCTTCTTAATCATTAATAAGATCAGCAGCAATTATTATTTGTCTTTTTCTCTTTTAATTTCTTGCCAGATGTAAACAATACATTGTCATGCCACAACGTTTTCACAATAAATTTGTGATGGTAACCACTACGTACTTTAATGTTCAGAAATTGCATTATTATGACATCATGATTTTTTTTCTCTTTTATTAATTGTCTAAATGGAGTGGAATTGAAGGGGATGAATGATTTTTTTCTCTTTTATTAATTGTTTAAATGGAGTGGAATGGAAGGGGATGATGAGACCCAACATATCCCATAATGTTGACAACTTCGCATGCTTTGTGTTCCAATGATATATGGCATTGTAAAATTGACTTATGTGGTTCACAACCAACTTTGGTTTTAGTAAGTTTCATTAAGGGTTTTTATCATGTGAAAATGGTAGTTAGTTAGGCCTAATTTTGCTAAATTAAACGCATCATTATCTAGCAAATATGCAATTACAAGGAATGCAATGCACCAAAGGGGTGGTGGGTTAGGGAGATAAGCACATATCTAATTGCAATGGGATTCATTCACGTAACCTATTAATGGAAATGATGGGACTATCTTTAATGGATAATTATATCATATATATACCGACTTGTATATCAATATCATTTTTCCTTGATTTTTTTTGAACTGCTCATTATTATTGTTGGGAGTGTTCACCATTTTAGTGTTGTTGGCTATTTTATTTAATTATATTTACTTAGATCAAGAAAAAATTTAAATAGATGTTGTTAACGGGTTTGGAGACGGAAAGTTTGTAGGACCCAAAAGTGAAAACAACCAATGAGAAATATGGACAACACAATTACTATATAATCAGAAACAATATTGTAGCACTGTCACCGGAGCAGATGATTAAGATTATGCTACAACATTCTCTCTCACACGGGCACACACTCACAACTTAATAAAGGAGAGAGAGACCACAAGAATTGTTTACGCAGTTCGAAGCTGACTCTCCTACATCGGCGAGGCCCAAATTCGTATAATAGCTCTTTTAGTAAATCGACGTAAGAATTACACAATCAATCACAACAGAACCTTCTAATGTATTGATCTATCTACTTATCATGCGAGTGACTTGAAGATAAATTTTGTTCGTGCCTATCTCCATGAGTGATTACACCTTCTTCATGCTCTACAGAAAGAATGTGTTGTTGGCCTGATTCCAGATTATTACTAATCAACGTCTGGATGATCTCCCAATGAACAGAATAAAGATCAGTGATCTTCTTTCTAATATCTCCACGCTTAGATGTTTATATGAGAGGCGTGATAGTACTTTATTTTGGTTTAATAACTCTGCTCTCTCAATCTCTCTTATTTCTGTATTACTCTCTTGATCTCTTCTCGTGAGATGTGCCTTCAATATATATGCTAGAGAAGAAAACCCTAGTATAGGTGCAACAGGAGTCTCTTGCCGAACATTAGCTATGCTTAGCATAGTCATTGTTGAAGTCTTCTACTGGATGTCAACTAATCTGCTTCTTCTGCAGTTATAGCATAGTTGTGCATGTCTCAAGAGTTACTGTCTTGTGAGGACAGAAGTACCGACGATAATAGGAAGTAGTAGGCACTAAGACTCATTAATCATAGAGTCATGTATATATACAGATATGTATATCAATATCATTTTTCCTTGATTTTTTTGAATTGCTCATTATTATTGTTGGGAGTGTTCATCATTTTAATATTCCTGGTTATGTTATATTCTCTCCATCCCGGAGTATTTGTCCATTTTTGACTTTTTTCAGATAAAATTGGTAAACATTGACCCAAATTAAATAAAAATGATATTAGATATTGATGTAAAAATAGTTCTATTAGATCTATTATATAAAATATTTTCAAAATACTATTTTATCTAATTAATGTACAATATATGTTTTATTTAATTTTAGGTCAAATACTGAAAACGGTTGACTGAAAAAAGTCCAAACTAGACAAATACTCTCGGACGGAAGTAGTAAATTTAAGTATAATTGGAAAAACTATTGACCAATGACATCATAATAACCATCAAAGAAGTTTGATGATGCGGAGTGCATGCTTCGTTGAGTTTGTAATGCTAAAAGTTCTGTTAGTGGGGATTTCAATTTCAAGGGGGCAGCGCCCCTGAGAGTTCAAGGGGTGGTAGCTCCTGCGGGATCCAAGGGGCAGAACTCCTGGCTGAGCTTGAAATTGTTTTTATGTTGGGCAAAGTACTGTGTTAAAAATTTACTTGAATTTTTAATTTTCGAAATTTGGGTATAAACAAATTTCCAAAAAATTTCCACTTCTAAGTTTCGCGCAATTATACATGAACTTTAGAGTGGAAGACGCGACTTCACATCTCTTCTCTCCGCTTCTATAAAACCCCAACTATGTTTGGTCGAAAAATACAGAGTTTGGAAGATTCATTGCAATGCATGCATGTTCTTGTCAAAATTTTAGTTCTATCTGATTAATTTTTGGATTGAACACCCAAAATAATCAATCTGAAAGTACTACATGAGTCTCGGATTAATCCGTGTTATCTTCGATTTCCTGAAGATGCTATATTTTGTTTAATTATATTTACTTAGACTCGAGGAAAGTTTGAATAGATCTTGTTAACGGGTTTGGAAACAACGATGTTAGTAGTAGGTTGGATGGTAGTAGTATTGGTGAACCAATGATGGTGATGAGGACTATAGTATTGGTTGACTATCTATGATAATGGTGGTGGTCAATCGACGACTATAATGGTGATGGGTGTTGTGGTTTGCCACAACATTGGAGGCCACGATAGTAGCCATTGGCTAGAAATTGTGGTGATTCGCCAGTGACAACACTATTTGTTGCGCCACAACAACAACTATAAGAGTCGGTGACATTTGTGGTGGATGGTGATAATGGACTGGAGATAATGATGTAACGACAATAAAGTGAGATATCAACGCACTCTATGTAGATTGATAATTTCAAATTTCAAGATATCATAATCCTCTTTTGAAAGGGTTCTAATATAAAATATATCAAAATATAAGTTCATGATTCGCCAAACACTCTATAAACTTAAAATCATGGATACCATTAAAATATCGATTTGATGGGTTGTAAGAATACGCAATAAAATTTTTGAATACAAACAGATCGAATCAAGTTCACCAAATAACTGTAGTAATGTTGTAGTTCTAAAAACTGTGACACACGTTATACTACTTACGAAGGACTCCAAACTCAAAGGTTTTTTGAATCTATCTTCATGGCTAGTTACACTTTCGTCTAGAACCTCTTCAAGGACGTGCTCGCAGCCCTTCTCTAAATCAGCAATGTACCTAATGTCTTATTGAAACGTGAACATAGAGTACTCAGGTTGTATCTATGTCACCAATAAGTTGCTAAGTTCCAGTGTAAAATCAAGTTTCCATTCACACGCAAAGGTATAAGAAAGTGGTGTGATCTCTCTTGATAATCATGTATGAACTCACATGTTTGCCCAGCCTCACAAATCCCATCGTGTATCTAACACCCTTCCTTAGAGGCTTAACATGATATGAGTAACATATAAGGCATCATCTAGCCCTAGATGAGTTCAGCCATGAGTCTCCAACGCCAAGTCCTAGCTTGAGCAAACTCCTTACGGCTTGCATCATCCGTAGTGTTAAGACTTCGATATTCACTAGGACAATTTAGTGGACCAAGACTCTAACACTTGGCAGAACAACACGACGACAAACATAATATTACCTAAGTTATTTAGACCTATTTATTTGTCAAAAAATAATGCCAACAAGAGTTATAGTAACTCAAGTTAGAAGGTGGAATGACAAGTAATGGAACTAACAACCATTACTCAAACTCAATATTTATCGCCCTTATCAAACATATCTATTACGCTTCCCAAACATGGTGTAAATAATTGTCCAACTAAAAATACTGGATACTCAGGAGTACAAAATTAGATAACAAAACGTTAGTGTTACAACTTAGTAACTTACATTACTCGAAAAAATCATAATTATTGGTTCCTTTTGCAAAAATGAATGTCATCTTGACCATTAAAAAAAAGGCAAAGCTATTATGCTTCCAGAAATAGAAAGCATTTTCCCCCCAACTCTATTATAAGCATACAACAGGTTTAGGGCATTAGCAAAAAACAAAGTTTCCATTGACTTGAGCAAACAAAAAAACAACACGACGACCGTCCCCTCCAAGAAACTTGCCAAGCTCTTGTGCTCATTCTATGTAAATTTTTGTGTTGAATGGGGGGCTGGATTCCCCGGAAGAGTGTTTAATCTCACAATCAAAGTTGACTTCCAGCAACCGGTGGTTTTGGCTAGAGCGGTTCATGCCAAAATTGATGATCATAGTGTCCCCTTTGGTAACATGTTTGGGAGGATGCAATAGAAACACCTGACAACACAATAATTCTATTAACCCAAAAAATTCCTACATTAAAGGTAGAAAGGTTGTTCCAAAAAGATGCTATATAGTATATATCAATGAAAAAACAAACGAATTTACGCAAACACCCAATGCAATACTGGGAATTGCAGATATGGAGAGCACGAACCTGTTGACCCCAATGCGTATCAAATTCTTTGCTAGGAGCAGTTGTTAGCTCAACCTCCTGTTTAACTGGATTGTCAACACGCCCCTAGCAGAATGAACCAAAGAATACATGAAATTTGTTCAGATATGAGAAACACACATAACAGGTAAATCCCATAAACAGAGCTAGCATGATGAAGTAAACTCACTTTAAAGTGCACGTCGAACCACCCACCAAACCCGCAAAGCCTGGGATTTTCAGCAGTAATCGGCAAAGAAAAACTCGAGCGGATGTTGACAATGTCTTTAACAGTTGTCGCCAAACAATCAATTTCCTTTATCATAGCAGGCTGTCCTATCACTTGATTCGGTTTAAGGTTGCCCCAGAGTGATGTCTAAGGAGACGACAATTAACATGGTTTTAGATACACAAAAAAAGGCAAACTTTTTCTCACGTTAGGTAGCAACATTTACATTAGAAGTAAAACATATGCATACATGTGCAGTTTATGTAATACCTCCATCTAAAAACTAGTTTAGATTGCCAAGAGTAAAAACCTATGTATATTGGTAAGGTACAATCACCATAAGTCAAGGACCCTACCTTCTTTTTACCTACTAAAATTTTGAAAATTCATGTGTTGGTAACTGGTTTAACTACACTTGTTATGCGCACATTGCTTGCGACTGTCTTATTTGCCAATAGAATGGGATATAGAGTTTCATTTAGTTGATAAAAAGAATCTTGTTTTGGGAAGAAAAAAGTGTTTGAAGCATGATTTTTGGGACATGTGGAGGGTTACTAGGGGTGTGTTTGGTTGGAAGGGAGGGAAAGGGAACCCTCATATGGTTCAACTTTATTCTTTAATATACTACTGTGTGACTTGTAAATTATATGCAGTACTCCGTAAAATTAAAAAAAATTGTTGTTCTTCCCCTTATCTTCCCTCTTTTCCCATCCCTCCCCGGCATTCCAACCAAACACACCCTTAGTGTCAGTTTCTCACTTCAAATCTCCCAGCCAAATAATATAGTTTTGAAGAATGCATACCAACCTGTAAATAGAATTTCTTCTGCTCTTCCAAATAAGGTTTTGTTAAAACACCCATATCAACACCGTAATAATCCTTAGTATCATTCACAAATTCATTCCACTCATCCATGGCTGCATCACAATCACATTTCTTTTGATCTACTAGTCCAGACCGTATAGGTGCCACCCACATCCTAGCATGGCTTGGATACCTGAAAACCCCATTATACCAATTCATAAAACACATGCTTCACAGGCATTAGAATATTAAAACAAGCTAATCAAATACTGAAGCAAGCAGCATAATGTATGGCACAGACTGAAAGAAATAACCACTGCTAAAATTTAAAAAAAACAACAAACAAAAAGAATGTGCACTGACACCTACATGACTCCATTTGGCTTGAGCCATCGATCACGGGCAAAAATTACAGAGTCAAACATTGACTCCCGAAGAAGAAAGTATCCCATCCATTCAGAAATGATCACATCAACTGCAAACCAGCGCATTGATTACATAACCATCAGAAAATATGAGTTTTTTTGAATTTTTATAACAATAGATATATGAATTGCTCTCACCCTTCTCCGGCAGTTGAACATCTTCCATTGAACCCTCAATAACTTCAATAACTGTCTCAAGGTTATTTGCTTTAATAAGTTCACGAGCGTGGTCTGCCATCTTGGTGGCTTCCACTGCATAGACTTTCCTCGCACCTGCTTGCGCAGACCATATTGCTAGAATACCACTCCCTGTTCCTACATCCAACACAACCTATTGTAGGGAAAACCATCTTAGTCCTAACCCCAATTAAATTTACTTGCAAACTAAAAAAATTGTTATTCTCAATGCATGAAATCCATGAATTATAATATAGTTCAAATCACTTTCATCGCCAAAATTGGGCGTTGCTTTCAATCTCCCTTATTATCAATACAAACGTATAGACTTGTTTCCTTTGCTGGTGACAAAACTTTTCGTCGAACTTAGAGATTCTTACAGATATCAAATTAAAAATTAAAGCATCAATACGAGCTTCCAATTCCATTCTAACAGCAAAAGAAACTGAATAGTTTACCGAGTATAATTTATCTGCATAAAGAACTGTTTTTTAGAGAGCTTCATAAGCCTTAAGCTCAGTAGCACAATAATTCTACACATATCTACGAAGAACAAAATTCAAAGCAGCTTTGACCTATATCAAACATGAGAAAAACGAAAGTCTTCAAACAATCCCAAATTAGGCTAGTGAAAAAGCTAAATTCAAGAGCGAAAAGATTTTTTAGGTCTTTTGTTCAACTAAATACAAAGCACAATTGAATGGATAGAGGGGTGGGGAGGGGGGGGGGTAAATTTCGGACCTTTCCAGAAAAGTGATGCTTGTTCTGGAAAACAGCGTTGTAGTAGGAGTCCATCCGAACGCGGTCAGTGAGCATGTCCTTCTGGTGGTAGAGAAAGCCGTATGTGCAGAAATAATTTGCAAAATCGACGCCCTTGTCCACCACGGCGGCGCCTCCGTCGCCACGGCTGCGTGCGGCGGCGGACTGGATGCCATTGGACGAGCTCCCCATCTCACTAGTGTCCGCCACACACACACACACAGCACGGAAAAGAGCGAGGAGGGAGGGAGAGGGACTATGGAAGGGATGTTTCTTTTTTTTTCTTCTTATATTTAGGGCAGCACTTGTGTAGGCGTGTAGCAATCAATCCAGTATTCCAGTGTGGATAGTCGCATTGATATTCATTTCATTTGTACCAATTTTTTTTTTAAAAAAAAGATGTGAATAAATTTACTTGTACCTTAAATATTGTACTCTCAAAATATATACTAAAGATTTTTATTTAACTGTGAAATTGAATTAATTGATTGATTACATTGTTGTCTAAACGTAAGCTATCAAAATGTATAAATTTTTGGAGTACGTTTTGGGGTACAACTTTTGTGGTACACTTAAGATTGTATTTCGTTCCCCTCATCCGATCTGATGTGATCTAATTCTTTGAAGTTCAGATCTGATGTGATTAGATTAGATCTAATCTCCTCTGATCTGATTTGATTGGATCTGATTTGATATAAATTTAATTAAAATTAAAATTATTATTATACGGAGTAATAATTATAATAAGAGTAATAATCATAATAGAAATAATAATAGGAATAGCAATAATAATAATAGTAAAAAATAGTAATAATAATAATAATAATAGTAATAATAATAGTAGTAATAAGAATAGTAATAAAAATAATAACTACATTAATATAATAATAGTAATAATAATAGTAATAATAATAATAATAATAACTATATTAATAAAAATACTAATAATAATAGTAATAATAAAAATCATAGAAATAATAATAATAATAATATTAATAATAATGATATTAGTAACAATGATAGTAATAATGACAATAGTAATCATAATAATAATAATAATAATACTAATACTAATAATAATAATAAAATAAAAATAATAATTCTAATAGTAATAATAATAGGTAGTAATAATTATAATAAAAATAGTAATAATAATTATAGTCATAATAAAAATAATAGTAATAATAATAGTAATAGTAATATGAATTGTAGTAATAGTAATAATAATAATAGAAATAATAATAATATTAGTAGTAATAATAATAATAATAGTAATAATAATAATAGTAATTGTAATAATAACAATAGTAATAATAAATATAGTAATAAAAATAATAGTAATAGTAATAATTATTATTATAATAGTAATAGTAATGATAATAGTAGTAACAATAATAATGTTATTAATATTAATAGTAATAATAATAATAGTGAATTGTTTTGAATTTTTTTTTGCAATCATTCAAAATATAGAGAGAAGATAATTGGTGTAAATACATGAGGGTATTAATGTCATTTGTCATCTTTTTTTCTAATGGGAAGGTAGTTTTAGGACGGAGAAAAAAGGGAAGTGAGAAAAACGTTTTAGGACGGAGGGAGTATATAATTAATTTTTTTAAATATATTCTTTAAATAATTTAAATATATAATTAATTTTTTAAATATATTATATTTTTTTAAAAAATTTATAATTTTCAAAATTTTTGAAATTTTAATATATAAAATTTCGAAATTTTTTAAATTTTCGAAATTTAATATATTATTTTTTTAAATATCAAAAAATATATATATTAAAATGTCGAGAGAGTCCGGTAGAAGGTCCGTGGATATGGGCGACGTGAACCGAAGTTCGAGGAAAGGCAAAGCTAAAGCCACCTTCGACGGTTCGACCTCACGCAGTTCTCGAGGAAGACACTCCGTCTCTTGCTTTCCTACTATCCCCGATCAATTCATGGACGACGCTTTGACGGATCAAGAATTCGACCAGTACAGATCCGGTAGAGGCGACGTGAATCTCGAAACTCTTGATAGTTTATTCGAGGAGATTGATGAAGCAGGAATGGACGGGGACGGGGAGCTTACACCGCACAGCAACGACGTCGACGAGGAGACAGATGAGCCCGAGACCTCTCAAGGTCCGGACAAAGGTAAAAAAATTAAAATCAGATTTATTTGTTTATCATTTTTCAAAAGAAACAAAAAATGACATAGTTTATGGAACTTGTAAATATTGTGCCACCGTCATTAAAATGGGAGTTTCCGGCGATTATGGTGGTCCGGAAAAACACCTAAGGTCGAGGCATCCCGTTGAGTACGCCAAATACGCGGCGAAAAAAAGGGACGACAAGAAGTGCAAACCCAAATTTCTCAGTTTGCTAACAGGGGTAAGGGCGACTTTTTTACTTATAGCGACGAGCAAAATAAGCAAAAAATGGATGAAATGATTTGTGAAGAAAATTTGCCATACATGTTTTTTTGAAAAACATGGATTTATTGTTTATTGTCAACAGGAATTAAACTCTCAAGCCAGAGGTTTTTCAAGAAAAACCATTAAACGAGAAATTATTCGACAGTATGGGTAGATTTCTGCATCAACGGTGTGTCTATCATGTTTTAAATTTGTGTGTTCAACATGGATTAAAAGCTATGGGGGGGNAAGAATTTGGGGTAGTCGTCTTATTTTGAAGTCCTGGAAGACATTCTGTAAGTCTAAGGGTAGAAGACCAATAACATTTGCCAAAGATATCAACATTAGATGGAATAGTATATACAAGTTGATAGCACAAATTCTAAGCTACAAAGAGGATTTTACTGAATTTTTTAAGGATGAACTTCTTTTAATGATTTCACCTATTGAATTTGTTATTGTTGAAAAATTGAATGCCGTATTAGAAGTTTTTAATAACGCAACTCTTACTTTTTTGCATGTTTACCAGCCAACTACAAATACATTTTTAAAGAGTGCGTTATAATCGCAACATGTTTTCGTGAAAGTTTGGCTGATGAAGATTTGTACCATTATGTCTCTCATATGAAAGATAAATGGTGTGCTTATTATTTGTACATTCCTGATATTTATAAAATATGTATTATTTGTGATCCACGCTTTAAGATTGAAAATTTTAAAATTCTAATTCACTATTACTACAATTATTTTTAGATGAAAATAATTATTACTACAGCTTTTTAATAGAATGGGAAAAAGAAAGAGATAATGCTATAACTCTTTTTGAGAATTTGTTTAAGAAATATCAAGGGTTGTACGGTAATGTACCAGAAGAAACAGCACCTTCTCCGTCCCCTAAATCAAAAAATGTTTTAAAGGAATAGTCGATGGGCTTCTTGCGAAGAAAGGGAAGCGTGCTCAGCTTTTAACGAGTTCAAGTGGTACAACAGTAAGCTCGCACAACGAACTTGCTATGTACCAAGAGGTGCCATGCGATTACGATGACGATGTGGAGTTTGGCGTCCTCGGATGGTGGAGTTGTCCGTCCCGGTATCAACCGTAGCAGTGGAACGAGAATTCAGTGCTGGCGGCAACATTCTAACCGACTACCGAAGTTGTCTTAACGCTGAATCTCTTGAAACACTTGTTTGCAACGAAGATTTGTTCTCCGCAAGACATCGAGCTCAAGAGTCAGGGTACGAATTCAATTCGGAGCATTACATGAATGCAACCACAGATGGAAGTCCGAGTTCTGAGGAATAAGTTATAAACTTTTTTTATGTTAATGTAGATATGTAATAATGTAAATATGTAATTAGTTTTTTTAGGTAAGCGATATATAAGCTCCTTCGATGGTTTCTTTACGGTTCTTTACCTCGTCGCTTTTTTTGAACCGTCAGGATATTAAATGTAGTTGTTCTTCAGTTCGTGTATTACTCATTTTACAATATAAATAACAATTACATTTTTAGATTTTTTATTTCATTCTTTTCTTTAGCAATTGCAAATTTATAATTTTATACTTTAAAAATTTTAAATAAAAACAAAAAAAAATATTGGGAGGTGGCCGAAACCGGACGGTCCGGTACCAGAACCGGTACCATCAGGTCCGGTCACGATACCGATACCAAGGGATGGCGGTACCAGAATAGGCGGTTCTAGAACCGAAACCGTCCCTAAACCGTACTGTATCCACCCCTAATGGGCTGTTCTAAAAAGAAAAAAAACTTATCTTTTGGTATATTCTCTATCAAATCAATGGCGAGCAGCGCTTCCAAGTTCTAACCTTACGACAAATGAACCTTAGAACGATGCTATCCTTTGGAAATCGGAATCGATATATAAACTGAACGGACCGAGGGCGATACTCTCTACGCACCAGATAGAGCAAGACTCTGCAAGAGTTCGGAATCCAAACCCCGTAGAGATTTGAGGTAACCATATACGATACCCAGCAGATGAAAAAAGATCTTAATTGTAAATATCACCTGCTTTGTAAACACATTCAATTGCCTTCTATTTCTCTTCATTGATAATATGATCTTCAGTTTGCTCGAGGCATATCGTAAGTTGGAAAATGAATTGTTCTGGCTATCTGGGGTTTGGTGTTCATGTTAATAATGATCCACAATTTTTGGGTATTTTGCGGGTAAACGTAAAGAATATGAACTTTCTGCTGCATGATTATCTGAATAAAGAAATTTTTGAGACATATTTATCTAGTGGAATACTCTTTTCAGAAGTCTTTATAGGCGAAATTGGGGCACTGGGTATGTTCATGGAGTTTTCCTTTTTGCCTGTACAAAGAAATCTCCATCATAAGTTGCTGGTTTGGTACTGAGTCAATGATTTTTCTACTACTCACACTTTGACCGCAGAAGGATTTAAAAAAGAAAAGTGCGTAGATGACATACATCAAGGGGATAGAATGATAGATACACAGTATGAACTACGTAATGCTTTCTTTAAAAGGTTTTAAAAGATGATTTTAGGAAGGTTGAAAGATTTATTCATAGAGAATGGGAGGAATAAGTAGCTGTGGTTTTATCCCCACTTTGTGCAAGTGTACTTCATTTGAGAGACTGATCGACACGGTGTAATGGTGTAGAAGGAGTTTCTCTATGCCAATGACTGTATCTCAATTTTTGTCAGTGATTTTGGATGCATTTCTTGAGCTAAATACTATTTCGTTTATCTTCAGGTGAAATATTCTATAAATCTAGCATCCGTATCTCTATTTCATTGGAGGAATATGAGCTTTGCTGCCCCTTCTGTAGGTTCTGGTTAGTATTTTTACAAGTGTGGTTATTTTATTGTGTACTCCCTATTTTTTGGCTTGCTACATTTAGTAAAGAATCATTCTGCTA